GCGCCGCCACATTCTGCACCAGCTGTAGCTCCCAGATACTCTTCAAGGGTAGCCCCATGTAGAGTGCGTTGCAGTAGTCCAACCCAGAGGTGACCAGGGCATGGGTGACCGTGCGGAGGGACAAAACCTGAATAGCAGCTGCTCTCTGGCAAACAAAGGTTCTTTCACAAGGTCTGCAAACTCGTAAGAAGTCATTCTTCCTCATCCCACTCTTTCATCAATCGATAGAGATGAAGGATATCAGTCCAACACACCTGAGAGTTTTATTCACTGACAATGCTTTGGCCAGTATTTTGGCACCCAAGTCTCCCATAGCATTGCCACTGATATCCAAGGCCACAAGATGGCTGCTGCTTCCTAAGCCATCGAGAAGAATGCCAGTTCTCAGCTTCAGGCGAGATTCGGCCACGGATATGGATTCAACTGACTGAAATAAAATCGGGGAAGAACAAAGCAGAACCTTCTAAGTGCCAACATCCATCTTGGTCGTATCAGAGATGACAAGCAACGGGTAGGCTGGTTCACACACAACATACTAAACCTTGTCAAGGCTGAACAGAAAAGCAATGGTAGTGTTCTGATAACTTATTATATTTAAATAAAGCAGCCATATTATGCCTTAGAATTAGGTTTGGGACTCTTCCACTGACTCAGTGGCTGAGTTCATGCAACAGACTAAATCCAAGTTAAAACATAGTTCATATGATATGCACTGCTCAAATAAGTTGTAATAAGGTTAAATGGAACAATCAAGTTTACATAAAATACTGTCAGCCTTGCAAGGTAGTCCAGACAAGAAGCACACCCAGAACTAACTCTACTTTATTCTAAGGTTACCTTAACAGAATCTTGCAAGTCTGAGTTAATTTCTCCCCCATCGCCTTTACAGCCCAAGAAACTTCTGAGATATTTGCCATACCCACATTCCTGCTGCAGGCTAAGCTGCCTCTTATCTGACCATTGCCCTGGCTGCGGTTCTTCCTCCTGTCTCCGAACATCATTCCTACATACCATTACACATACAGAGGCAATGGCTGGCTTTCCCAGAACAAGCTGAAGCACGCTACCCAACCTCATTTTAGCATGTTTAGCATGCCTCATTCTATCACGTTATACAAAGTTGATCTTGTCTGTGATCCAAACTTTGAAAGCAGATGACATTTTCAACAACAGCCTGTTATTAAATAGACACAGAACTTTGTAAGACTTCAAATTTACAAAAATAGGGATGCAGATAAGTTTACCCCAAAGAGGATGAAATACTACAAACACTGAAGTTGTTCTTTTAGGACATCTTACTTACACAGTCTTCATCCTGAGTGAGTTGAACAATCCGATGTAAGGTGTCAACTAGAGTCTCTCTAGGGGAATGAGACAAAAGGAATGTGGGTACTCTGACTTTTAATTCATATAATCAAATGGATGGTGGAACTCCTGTAAGATATCTCCAGCTGCCTCTGTAGACTGATCTGATAAGGAAGCTTCAACTGCTTTAGAAAACTTCTGTCTGGACTTGAAAAAAATTGAATCTATTCTAATCTTGCAAGAACTGTACTTCCTGCCTTTAAAGTTTACACTTTTAAAGCCCTAAGCAGCTGAATCCAATAGAGATGACTTCTTTACTATGAGACCAGATGGTCATTTGAGTGTCAGATCTTGGTTCTAATCCTCACTGGCAGCAGACCCTTTTTAACTATTGGGTCCACTCTGTGGATGAATCTGCTCTTATCAAAAGAGCATAGTAATTCTCCCCTACCACTCATATACCTTTAAGTATTTGGCCAAATGTTGCTTTCAAGATGCCTTTGCTGGTTGGGTTAGGCTGTTATATTTGAATGTCCACCCTGTTATCAATTAAGATCATCTTCTGAGCTTTGCTATTGTTATCAAGTTGGGTTTACTGAGACCTGTATTACTTTTATTTTTATCTTTTGCACTTTGCTACATCTATGATGCTTTTACTGCTTTTTAAGTGGTAAATCACTTGGGGAATGTCCTCAGCTGTGGACAGGTGGGATAGATGTTATTAAATCAGTTTTGAAGTCTTTCAGGTGACTGGTCTTTGGTCTCTCAAACTTTCTCGCATCAATTAAAACACACATTAGATCCAACCAGGCTGTTTTAACTATTTGCACATATATTCAGACATCAAGACAAACACAGCCATGCCTGTATGTTTGCAAGTCTAGAACGTGCAGACAACTGCCAGGCCATCCAATCAGAGCTTGACATTTCTGGCCAGGAGCTAAGCACAGACAACTGCCAGTCATTCAATGCTCACTTGCTATCATTCCAAGCTGGCCAGCAACAGAATGCTTCATCCCATTCCCTCACATTCCATTTCCTCATTCCTAGACAAACATCCTTTCCTCCAACTATACTGTTAAAACTGCTAGTATTCCTTTTCTCCTACACTTCAGGTATTTCTGTACATACATTTTTAAACATTTTTCATTGTATTCAGCGTACTGAAAATCCTCACAAGCTTCTCACTCTTCATGGCAACAAACCTCTGTTGCTTTCCAAACTTTTGTGACCTATAATGGTCGCATGCCAACAATTCTGCATTTGGGCACTCTTCGTGGAGCAGGCTACAACAGAAGCTGAGGAAGTGAGAGACAGGGCAAAGCAAGAGTCCCAACCAATGAGAATTGAAACTGCCCCTTAAATTGTAGGATAGTGATAACCTGTCCATGGCACCAGGTTGCCTCATTTATTTATTTATTTGATTTATATCTTACCCTTATTTTTTAGAACTCAAGGTGGTGTACGTAATGCTCCCTTCTCCTATTTTCCCCACAATAAAAAGTTGTGAGTTGGGCTGAGAGAGAGAGAGAGAGAGAGAGAGAGAGGCTGGCCCAGAGTCACCCAGTTGGTTCCCTGATACACTGACATTTCTGAAGTGGCATTTGCTGCCGTGAAGCAGCACTACTCCATTCAAAAGTCAAAGAGAAGAATAGCGCATGTGTGCAACTCTGCAGCCGGCTCAACAGACAGGCAAGTCTTCTCTGGCCTGGAACTACACCATCATCTAAAGACCCCATTAAGTGTATGCACAACCTTGCTAAGCGACCCAACTCACATCTGTGTATTATTAGTACTACTACTTCATTTTTGACTTGCTTTTTTTAATGCCAACAGAGTGCTGAGTGCTTACCTAGACTGGATGTTAAAGTTCTTCCCTAATGCGACATGCTTAATGGATTTGCTTCGGTTGATGCTCAAAACCAGCGTCACCATGTCAGAATCAAAACCTGCAGAAAAGAGATGCTCAAACAGGAACCCCAGGAATTTAATTCAGGAGGATGCAAGTGTTTTGAGCCACTGGGCACCCTGGAAAGGCTGAAGGCATGCAATGGACGTGTTCTCACCAAATGGCTTTTACGGGAGGAGGCTCAGTGGGATTATTCACAAAATTGTATGGCCATTCTTGATATTTTAGGGTTCTTTTTTTAATGAGATTTCACTATAGTTTTTATCAAATTTTTGGAAGCCAGCCAGAGACATTAAAAGAGCAAAGGGCATATACATTTAAAGAATAAATCAATACACTCCCTCACCCCCACCCCAGAAAGCAAGCGGCTGAGATTGTGGTCTAATTCTCTTTCAACCATCTTAGGATGTTCCCATCCACATGTGGGTTGCCTCTCTTTCTTTCTGTTTGGATGGATGGCCATACTTTCAAGCCAACCACTGGATGCAGCCAGCCACCATATTTATCTTCAGATAAAGACCTTGGGGGATCTAGAGGGTTCCTTGGAAACAAAAATGATGCTAGAAGCTGTCACTTTGCAATCTGTCTTCCTTTCCCTCCTTTTAATGTTAAAAATATGTATCTTTTAAAAAATTAAGACGTTAAGTGGGGCAGGAAAACTGGTAGGTCCTAAAGGCAGTATTTGTGAACATTGATGCCCATGGCACCAGGTTGCCTCATTTATTTATTTATTTGGTTTATATATTACCTTTATTTTTTTAGAACTCAAGGTGGTGTGCGTAATGCTCCCTTCTCCTGTTTTCTCCACAACAAACAGTTGTGAGTTGGGCTGAGAGAGAGAGAGGCTGGCCCAGAGTCACCCAGTTGGTTCCCTGCCTAAGAGACGACTAGAACTGATGGTCTCCTGGTTTCTAATCCAGCACTTTAACCACTGCACCAAACTGGCTTTCAGATTGTACTCATGTACTCATGCAGAATCTCTCTTGAAGGGAAGATGAGAACAGAGCATCCATCAGCAAAGACCTCCACCAAAAGCGATGCTTAGCAAGATAGCGTGAACCGAATGAGCACTCTGGATATCCCACAAAGGATTTTTTTAAAAACCTACTGATCCTAGCTGAAGGCCAGAATGAGACAATTATACTGACAACTATTCATATACGTTGACAACTGCTTGGGTTAGTGTGGGAATGAAAGATGTAGGAAACATCACCACCCTCATTCTCAACAGGCTGGGCTTTGCAACAGAGAAAAAATAGACCTACCGTTGTCTGACAAATTCAAGTCACAGATTGAGCTAGCATCTGAAATCAGATCCTGGATCACTTGGGCTCCTGCCGATCTCAGCTATGAAATGAAGATCATAGTAGTGGTAGTTATATAGTTTTGATACAGTAACATCAGGCTATTCAGATGTTAGGATCCATCTAATTTTCAGAAGCTTTTGTGAAGCAATAGCTCTTCCCTGTAGCTACTGAAAGCAGCTTATATTCATTGGCACACTCCTCCTAACCTTGGAGGCTGCATAGCATTACCATGACTAGGGGCAATTGGTAGACCAGTCCTTCCAAATTCAACTAGTCCCCTTTTCTCATGGCATATCTCAAAATCAGTCCAAAAGAAGTGTTGTAGACCTTGCATAAACAGAACCTTTTATTGTTTTTCATTAAAGCAGGCACATCATTTTCTCAGAGAAATCTGGAAAAAAAAGATGCAATTGCTTTAATGAGCAGAACTTATTAAAACATAACCTTACTAAGTGAGTATATCCTCTTTGGCTTTGATTTAAAGGCAAAAAGCTACCAGAAAATTATGTGATTTTTTTTCAGAAATTATATCTGGATACAGAAATGGAATCTTATATCTCCAATTTTCACAGTGACAGGAAATACATTTAGAACAACTTCCCCTTGCTCTCCTAGATGAATCTCAAAGGGGAGAGGGAACTGTGACATTGTGTTCCCAATGCATGTCCAGCTTTTTCACTTGCAAGTTCTGGAACCCTGTCTTGTAACATCAGTCAGATGTGCTTCCAGGAAATCACTGTTTACCTCACAACTAGTGAGGTCCAGGTGCAGGTTCTTCAGTTGGGTGTTGTTGGCCAAAGCTTGTAGCAAAGCTCTTCAGAAAACCAAAAAGAAACAAGTGAAGAATTAGCCCTAATAGCAACTGTCCAAGACTGACACATTCCCCTTAATCAGTTTCCCATGTCATGGCCATATTTCCTCTTTCTGCCCCTCCCCTCATGGGAGTCAGCTCAATGCTTTCATCTCTCCTTTACCTTAAAGCCTCTGGTGGGAGCTTGGTTCCAGACAGGGAAACATGTTGTAGGGCAGAGGTCTGGCTGAAGAACTGGCTGATTCCAAGAGGATCACCTCTGGATTTTCTGAGAAAAAAAAAAGGTTGGCTCTTAAATTCTGGGTTAGGGCCCACCAACTCCTGGAAGGTGATCAGATCTCTTCCATCAAAGGGGGATGGTACCACAAACCCAGCATGAATTAGAACTAGGATAGTATAGGATCTCTAAAGGAACCCTTCCCTGCCTCCACCACGCCACAGTCTCTCTTCCAGCAAGAACAGTATCTTGAGAAGCTACAGAATCCAAGAGCTACATACGTATTTACAGAAAGAGATAGCTGATTTTGGTTGATCACAGAAAGCTAAGCAGGGTCAGATTTGGTTAGTAATTGAATGGGAAAGTTGGAAAAAAGAAGAAAGTAATGGCAAACCCATGTTCACAGTTATCCAGAGAACAACATAGATGAATCCAGGTAGTTACTAGGGACGGAATTCAACATAAAGAAAACATAACTTTCGATATTCTAGAAAAAAGGAGGCAGCAGTTCTGAAAGGGTTAATGGAGAGATGCATTTTGCGTTCTTGAACCAGCATGTCAGAACCACAATTTATTAAGTTGTTTTTGCAGATACTGTATATTTTCAAACAGCAGTTGAATTTTGCAGTGCACTTCAGTTGTTTTAAAATATATGTGAAAATGTGTTTATTAAGGCATTTTTTTGGGGGGGGAAATCCCTCGTATTTATTAGCCAAAGTAGGGCACAAAATGCTCCATATTGTTTGCAAACAGAAGCGCATTTAGCTTTGAAAACACACAGAAAATTCTCCCGCTGATGCTCTAACAAGATCAACTGAAGAATGAAAAAAAGAAATAAAAATTAATAGATGCACCCATCACTATTTAAAACTTTGTAGCCTGGCGGCTGATGCAATATCTTCCACAGACTTGCTTCCAGCTTAACAATCTTGAGAACAGCTCTTTTTCTGCTCTCAGTAATAGATAGTTTGTCAGTGTTGCTGGACAGGTCCCTGCCTGGCTCAGAAGGCTAGAAAAGACCAAGTGGATGGTGGTTATATGAGGCTGTGGAAGAATTTCTACTGTAGACATCTTAAGAACACAAATGATGCTGCACCCCAAAGGTGAAGCACTTAATGTGGAAATGCAAATTCTGGCAGAGGTTATTATCAAGATCCAAGTCACAAACACATACATGATTACATCCTCAAGTTTAAACTTTTAAAATTTAAAATTTAAATTTAATGGTTTAAATTTTATTTTAACTTTCAATTTTTTATTAAGTTTTAAATTAAAGTTAAATTTAATTGGATTTTAAATTTAAAATAAAATTTAAAGTTTAAGGTTTAAACTTGCATTAGGAACAAGGCAAATCTTTTACGCAGCCAAGAGCTGGTTTGATTAAAAATCTGAAGCAAGCAATATAGAAGCAAGTCTCGTCTCACCACCCTAGAAACATGTTGAACTTCTGTGCACCACTTATGTATTTCTACCTTCAGTGTCATTTCTCACAAGCACACGGTGAAAAAAAATACAGAACATTCAAAATGCCAGAAATGATTAAAACGGTATTATATTTTAAGCTCAGTTAATATTAAATTGCAGGAATTGAGCTTTGGGGTACGGAATTGCTACTGGCAATTTTAATTTCCTATATCCAGGCAATTTAGGGCTACAGATAGTCAGTGAAAGGATTAGACACCCAGTAACTGTGGACAGAAACCCCAACATATTAAAAGAGATCAAGTAAAGTCACTGCTTCACTGTCTACACTAATCCACCCTTTGGCACAAACGTGCCAATGATTATTTTTGATGGTTCTACACCCTCCAAAATACAAAACAGGTGGATTAAAACGATCTCAAATGACCCAAAAGAAAAAAAAAAGCCAAACATTTTTGGCCTCCTCTCCCGTGATGACGTCATAACACTACCCTAACCCTTACAGCTCTCAGAAGCCAAAAATAATTTTAAAATGGAAAGTGCATCCATTCTGCGTCAAAAAGATGGTCTGTATGTGATCTAGGCCCCCTAAAGGACTGGCCACTTGTGGCTGCTTTGGGTCCTTAAAGGCCTTGCCTTGCAAAAACTCTCGCCTTGTCCTCCACAGTCTGTGTGTTTGCGCTCAACGGTGCAACTAGAACCATTGTGGTATGTTTTTTGTATCTGGGTGGGTTTCATGGAAGGGCAATTGCTATGTTTCATTGGTAGTTAAGGTCCAACGTTCTGTTGCCTGGAAAGATGCAGGCTCGTGGTTCGGCTATAAGGAGGACAGAAAGGCAAACTTGTTGAAGAAGAGGCAAAGCAAGTTTCTGTTCCCCTCTAGATTTATTTTCTTTGCCATCGTTGTTCCTTTATCTAGTGCTGTTTTTATGGTTTTTTTTCTATTGTTCTTTGTTTTTAAATGTTTTAACCATTGTAAGCCACCCAGAGTTGCTGGGAGTCGGGTGGCATATACATTTAATTCTTCTTCTTCTTCTTCTTCATCATCATCATCTCCGCTAGCAAGTTCCAGGCCAAGCACATGGGGGGCAGGGGGGAATCAGGCCTTCCCAAACCAGTCCCCAGCCAGAGAAGTTCAGCAAAACATTTCAAGCTCTTACTTGTGAGAGTAAACATTCTTGCAGAGGTTCAGATCGGTCAGGTTTACACAGCAACCACCAGCCAAGGCACTGAAGAGCTGGCAACAGGAGAGAAAATAGCCAGGAAGATTCAGCACAAGCAGGCAATTTCCATTCATAAGAGGAGTTCTTGGCCACCGGGGAAAAGAAATGTCTTAGTTGCCCAGAAGACATACCAAAGTAGAGATAAAGTAGAAAAGAAGAAAGGAACCGCTTCAGTCTCCGCTCTCTTGTTGCTATGTAGAAATGGGAATCTGTGTTGTAACATTATTTGACCCATCCCCAGCTACCATTCCTTTGCTTGCCAAGGCAGAAATATTGGGAGTAACAGACCAAGTGCAAGTCACAGGTAGCCAAGCCGATAGCAATAGATGGAACAGTGTTAAGTCTTGATTTTTTTAAAGATTTAGGGCAGAGCCTAGGGTTTGCCAGTTATCCTGACATCTTTGCATTCAGAGGTCATAAAACCTTGGAAGGGAGTGGAAGTTTTGATTACTGTTTACCTGGCCAACTGGCTCAGATACTCTTTTGATACTTGAAAGTCTATTCTACAAACCTAAAAATACCTGTCAGAAATAAACGTTCTCTTTATTCCAGGACCTTTCTGGACTGAGATCATCCTTGACATTTTGAAAACACATATTGGCACACCCACAACATGCCATAGAAGACCTGGCTTTTCAAAAAGTCTTTAGATAAAGACTTTTTCTTTATTTTATTAAACTGTATTTATCGTAACAAGTTTTACAAGAAGAAATACGCAGAATTGAAAAAAAGAAAAACAAACAAAAATATAACAAACTTATTCCCCCCCTCAAAAAAAAACCAAAGGAAAAAAACAAGGACAGGGAGGGGAAACTATGTGTATATCAGATATCCATCAAATATCAAACAATACTTAAACATTTCAAAATTGACCTTAAAGAAAGTAAATGATAGTTTTTCTCTTGTTATGAAATGAAATGAAATCTAGGCCAAAGAAGAACATATTGTGTCATTTTTGGATTAGCAGATAAAATTGCCTTTTGAAAAACAGATTCCACATCTCTTGAATCCAATCTTTAATATTAGGAATAACACTACTTTTCCAGTTTCTCAAAATAATTCTCATAGTAATTCTCCAGGCCTGATATAACTCTCCTCAAAAATGTAGTCAAATCAAAACAGCCTTGCTTGATGACAAAACAGCCTCTATGGTGGACATGAGAAGTCACAAAATACTCATTTAACAGAAGGTCAACTGAGAAGTTTGCTTCCTGTTGTATCTCCACCATTGTAGTTTATGGCCTAGTTTTCTGGACAAGTGTACACAGTCCCAAATGAAGCAGTAGATTACATCCACTCGCTATTTTTATTTTCCAAGGATGACTATGGAACTAGGTTTCTTGTAAATAAAGATGATGCCTTAAGTTTCAGCATACCTGCTTCCTATATAATTATTATTTTAGTAAAGAGAATTTTGGAGCACGGTATCATGAGTTGTCAGGGAGCAACTTCACCAGTATGTCTATTATTAAATAGATATAGATGACTAGCTACACCCATCCCAGTTGCCATTTTGCAAGCCTACAATAAGCAGTCAACACTTCAAATGTGCTCACTACATCCCCCCAGCTGCTGGGAAGAACCACAGGGTTGTATGGACTACACATCTGGCTTAACATATGAGGGTTCTATGTGCTTTTACTACATGTGCTCATGACACTCTTTGCAATCCTGATGGACCTCATCAAAATGATGCAGAAAAAGGACAGGATGCAACACATTCCAGGAAGATCAAAAACAGTGGTTGCTAGTTGCTCACCATATCCAAAGCACAGTCTGACCCAGAGAGATCAAGATGATCCAGAGCATTTGGCTGACTCAGGAAGGAAAACAAGCCCTGAAAGAGAAAGAGGAGAGCTGATGCAAAGAGAAATTTCTACTGTGGTGGTGTCAAGCTGTTCTACTTAGGGCATTACATTACGTTATCCACCCTTAAAAAGCATTCAGAGACGGAGCAGGCTGAAAATCTTGCTGTTAGGTGACTTCATGAGATTGTAGTTTTCCTTGAGCTTCACTAGTGATGTAGTTCCTTCTGACCTCCACTGAACTATCTTTACAGACCAAAAGGCTTTAAGGCTGGGATAGCTTAAGAAAGGGTGCAACTTTATGCATTTCCCAACCATTTTTGTGACCTACTTTCAAAGCACTTTGTGATCTTTCTGCTGAATTTTGGCCACGTGACTGCTGAAAATCAGTGGTGTTAATTAAACCTGTAGCGCAAGATTTTAAAATAGATTTTTTCAAAAAATCCAGCCCTCCACTGGCCTCACCAACATGTGTGATTTGGTCATGATCCCACTTCCCTGGTTCTTCAGCCATTAAATGTGGTCTTAGGTTATCAAAACATTACCCCCTCCCTTGTAAGGGCTGAACTAAATATGGACTTGATTGTATAACACAAAAAACTGCAAGCTTTCAATCCATTATCTTACCTAAATAAGTATCATGATAGATGGTGTAATAATATTAAAAAGATTACAACATTAATAAAAAGACTCTCATGATTCAAATTCAGATTAAAATATAATGGTTAAAAATCCATATCAGCTATATCTCTAACCACAATAGTCAATTCTATTTAATCAGTAAGGAAATTGTTTGAGAAATAGAAGCATAATCAATGTACCATGAATGTTATCTGTTACATTGGGGGAAACCAAAAATATTTTGCCTTATTTACTCTTTTACCAATTATGTGTCAATCCTAGAAGGAACTTTTTGCCAGCAACAGAACAGCTCCTCGGATACTGATAGTCATAAAATCTCCGATGGGTGAAAATTATGTAGTCTTTGAGCTGGTTGCAAAGTTTGCTGAAATAGCCAGAAAATTGAGAGCAATTCTTCTCTTGTGGGTTGCAGTTGATTGCAAAGGATATGAGTATGTGAAATGGTTTTATGTTTTGAAATCTATTTTTATTGTTTTAGAGCAATTAAATTAAAATGCCTCTGCATTTTAAAACTCCTTTGTATGCTTGAATTGCAAAGCCTTTGGCTAAAATCAAACAAAATTGTATCAGTTATTTAATTGCCATCAACAAGCAAATCACCACATAATATAGACTTAATTTATCCTTTCAACATATGGACTCCATTTCCCATCTATTACCTACTATATATTCCATTCAGCATGTACAGTCTTTCTCCAGAGTTTCGTATCATCTGACATGAACAGAGGATGAAAAGCAAGGCCATCTGGGTTGGGGCACCAAGACTTTGGAATATCCTTCCTAGAGACAATTGCGTGCCTTCACATTATATTACATTATTTGAGACTAACCATGAAGCCCTGGTTCTCCAAGAAGGGTGCTGTAATATTATTGAAAAAAGAGAGTGTTTGCTATCTTTCATGCTGCTTATGGCTTTGTCATCTTGTCTTCATTATTTTTATATTTAGAAGAGAAACAACTCAACTGATTATGGATTTACCAATATAGAACTGGCGACCAAGGTCTGAAGCTCAAAAGAGCTGAGCTTATTCAAGAATATAGAGATCCTTCTTCTCTATGATCCATTGTCACTAGATTTAAGTCTACTCATCCAGTCCCAGTTGTTACAAAGTATGTGCAAGATGGAGAAATCTGAGCTTGATTTGTCAGATATAATTTCAGACTGAATATGGCAGATCACACACCCTAAATATCTATGTGGCACATTACTTAGATGGCCACCAAAAATGGCTAGGAGGACTTCTTTGAACCTGAGGACTATGATTACCTGTTTCTCCCCAGTTCTAAGGAATGAAGAAGGGAGGGTATATTAATGAAACTGCTCCCATAAGTAATTCACACTTACACTTCCCCCTTCAGCAAACAAACTTCCGGGATTTCCAGAGAGGTCCAGATGGGTCAGACAGGTCCTGAATTCTCTGTTGTTGATGAACGACAGACACAGGGCCATCATTCCTAGCAAGAGACAATCAAGAATATAAGATTAAGATTACTGCTGAGCTCATTCAGTTTCATGAAAGAGAATCTGCTTCAGAACTTCCTTTCAAAAGAAATAATTTCAGAGAAAATCTTGGGGGTGGGGGTGGGGAGTGTGCACTGTGCCAGATTTAGGCATAAGCTAAACAAATTCACTTTTAAGTATTGTTTCCAGGGTATACTATCGTATAATCTATGAGCGATCAAGCCAGCCATATGATAAATATGTAATCAGTAAATGCATTCATTTGAAAATAATATGCATTTTTCACTTTAAATACCTTGCTATTAAATAATTAAAAGGCATATATATGTTTTCAATTTTTTCATGGCAATCCAAGGTCCTGTTTTGTACGCACCTTTGTGAGATCTTCTGGTATAACTTTTTAACAAGGGGCCTCCCTATATATATATAGCTTAGGGCCTCACCAAGTCTAGATCTGTCACTGAGTGCAGTTCTTACACTAAGAACTTAGTTGTGTGTGACTAAGAAGTATGTGAAGTATCTTCTCTTTCACTGTCCAATCCTCACTCCAGTGATCTCCAATCTGCAGTTTCCCACACTTCCACAAAATCCCAAGAGGGACCTGGGAAACGCCTCTACCTGTGGCGCTTTCTAGTTGAGGTACCATCTGCCAATAAATTGTTAAAGTTGTTGTGTCTTTTATAGAGATTATGCAGCTGTCCACCCAGGTTACAGTGTGATTTTGGAAAAAGATGGTTTACAGGACTGTAAGCAGTGGCCAATAGGAGTTATATACATGTCCATGCATACTTCAAAGAACTTTTTAATTTATTTATTGAATTTGAAAGCTACCTCATTCCAGATGCCTCTGGGTGGCTTTACAAACTTAAAACAATAATTCAAAATGATGTCAGTAATTCCTATCAGCTTGCATAGCTAAATTTATTTATTTAATGAGTAATTATTTAATCATTCCCAGTGTTGTTCCTCTTCTATTGCATTTCAAATTAGATGTTGGTAAGAGCTTTGGAGGGGCTCTGATGGTCATAACCAAGATTTGGGGGGAGGCCAGAGACGGTGCAGCACGAGAAGGCAAAAAGATAGCAATCTCTTTGGTAGATCAAGTGTCTTCCCACTGATCAACAGAAGCTGCTGATTTCTAACAAAAAGTCTTTAAAAATAAGATCTGCCTACTCTAAGAAAGTAAGCTTAGGGAAAAATGGTTCTAGTAATAAAAAGTTCCTGAGCTGAGTTTAGCTGTACCTTCAACCTTATTTGTAATTCTGCATGATCTTCCCTGAATTATCATTTTGCACATGACTCCAGTTGATAAATCACGATGTTCTGGGGAAAATCAAGCAGCCAGCTCTAGCCAGAAAGTGGCAGACATAGAAAGCAAGGGCAGATTCCTTTTGTTGGCAGAGCTGTCTTGCTCTGCTTGAATGCTGGTTGATAAAATTCAGCCTGTTTCAGGAAACCTTGACCTGTGGCTAAAAATAAAAAACAACAACCTGGACAGCACAGAGTTCCTCCTCAGTGAGATAGCTGTCAATGGACCTGGCCCTGCTATTAGGCAGCATGTAGAAACTGTATCAGGCAGTTGATTTGGGGTGTCATGAAAGGTTAGTAGATGTCTGCTTTTTGGTTTTTGATTACAGGTAGTCCTTGGTTAATGACCACTCATTCAGCAACTGTTCGAATTATGACGACGCCGAACGAGGAAACTTACGACCGGTCCTTGAAGTCGCAGCTGTCACGGTGTCCCCATAGTCACGTGATCGCAATTCAGGCACTCAGCAACCGGCTCACAATTACTATGGTTCCAGCGTGCTGTGGTCACTTGATTGTCATTTGTGACCTTCACTGCCTGCTTCCGACAAGCAGTCAATGGAGAAGCCAGCAGCAGGTTACAAATGGCGACCATGTGACCTCGTGCTTAATGACTGCACGGAATTCACCTAATGACGGCAGCTGGAACTACCACAACTGCGGCTGTAAGTCGGCACAGTCACAAGACATTGTGTTTTATGACTGCTTTGCTCAGCGATCAACCAAGGACTACCTGTATTACCCATTTACTGCCACAGAGAACCGTGCGCCATTTTCTGGTTCAAATGGCCTACACCCATTTGCAGAAACAAGGAGTCCTTCCTTTGCTTCTACCAATGTGTTTGCATCATTCAACCCTAACCTTTGTCCATCATTGAGTTATTCACACATTGACCTGTCACTGTACGGGAGATGGAGTCGCTGTTTCCGCTTCAGGCAGTGATTTGGGATGCCAATTATAGTGTTTATTTCTTTAAAACATTTCTGTGTTGTGTTCAGCAATAAAACAACATCACACACAATTTCAAATATGAGTTAGCATCAAGCAATACTTAAATGATTATGATACATTGCATTCCAAATAAACAAACCAGCAGCCAGGATATACATTGAACAACAATAATAGTAAGTCAAATGCTCCGATAAAAATGTGTTCAGCATGTGCCTAAATTGAAACACAATCAGTGCATGCCATACCTGTATTGTAGCCTTTATAAAAATTAAATCACATGAGGGATCCTGGATATAGACTTTATTATTTGTCTTTTTTTTTTTTAAATCAGGCTATGAAAGAGTTTGGACCATCCATCCAAGGAATGAGGAAAACAGATCAGATCTGGGCGTTAAGTGTGGGTGTGTGTGTTTTCAACTGAGCCAGACTAATGGAGCACAGAACACAGAAACCATAAAACACACAACTCAGTACATAAGACCCCAGGCCCAGTGAGAAATCTCATAGTAAGGCAGCAACTGTGATCCAATGAAAAAGAGAGTTTGTGGATTTCAAACAGACGGAGTGAATCATAAGAAGCCTTGTAGAGAAGAGGAAGGGTGGGATTTACCTTTCTGAGTTATCGAAGTCTTGGCAAAGTTCAAGGACTGGAAACCCTTGACGCTTTGCTCGAAGGTCTGGCTTAGAGCAATTATACCTGTAGGCAAATTAGAACAACCAGAGTCAAGTCAATACATGGTACAACCACAACACCCATGGGAATTTCCAGATGGACAAGTCCTTGCCCTCTCTTAGTTCATTACTCTTCTACAAACTACTCATAGAATTGCACCTGACTTTCTACAGGATTGGGGGTATTGAATTACTAGTTCAGGAGACCTTTTTTTTAAATAGGAGAAGGCAAAATAGATATTTGCACACTGTTATTGTTTTCTTTTTGCCAGTTTTAATTTGCTCAATGATACAGGTCTTTTAGAGCAATCATGTATAATTGGTGTCTGGACTTGTAACACAGTAAACATTTTCTGCTTCAGAAATGATTTGGAAAGAACATGAATTGCCAAGCGAAGTTAAATTAGCAGTGAGATCGTCAGTAAAAGATGGATGGGTGGGTGGGTGGGTGGGTGGATGTTTTTGCATTTAAGTACACAAAAGGATGCTATGATGCTGTCACATTTCCATTAAATACTTTCCATTGGGCAAAGGCATAGCTGGAAAAGTGCCTTGATGTTATTAAAAAGATAATAAACAAATTCTGTCCCCCCCTCCCCATTAATAGTAGAGGCTTGTCAAGGGGCAAAGAATAAACGTGTTAACACAGCACCAAACTCTAGAGCAAGTTCCTCCATGGCAGACACCATCCAATGTGTGAAGGAAGATGACATCAGGCATTGGTTATACAATCCCACCAGCAAGATCAGATCCATTTCTACCATTCCATTTTAATCATATAACAATTGAAAAGCTGAACAGGAGTAACGAATCCAATCCATTTTTATGGCCAGATTATAGAAAATCCTACTGCAAAGCATCTGCTGAGACATTGGGATGTCCTACCTCGATCCTCCAGGAGGTTTCTAGAGAGATTAAGGGTATTTAAGGCAGAGTCGGGATATTCTTGAAGGACAAGGGCCATCTGCTGAGCAAAATCACTACAAAATAGAGACAATTTCACACAATGACAAGGAATCTATGCAGAGAGAGATTCAAGGTCTACAGATTGTGTCCAAATATTTGCAGTTGTCTGGAGTTTGCTCCCTCCTTCAAGGGGCTGTGTCTTGTCTATGACCTTCAAGGTCCGGAATAGCGCCATGGATAGGGAGATAGTCCTTTGAATTCCATCACTTGAAAACGAGTTCCAGATCTTATGGGTCATCTTTTGAGTCTGTGTTGCCAAAGTATACCAAACATTTCTGAAACCCAGCCTGGGCTGAGGAGAAAAGGAGGGAGGGAGGGAGACTAAACTTGCAATCAAGCATACAGTAAAAGTTTGAGGACAATCTCTGACTTCCCTTCCAGCTTTGAGATTGAGAGAGAGCCTTTGGTTTGTTATAGATGCAACAGAAAGGTAGCAGAAGAATTTGTGATCACAAGGAGGTTGAGCAGAACTGTTGACCAGACTCTCGTTGGATAGGACTGATTTCTGATTTGGCTTCTGGTTGGTGTGTAAGTAGACCCAGAATAACAGCTAAAGTCAACCTCACTGGAGACCATCTGGTAGACAAGGTCTTCAAAATTCTTCATTAGGTAGGATGTTACAAAACATACAGAGTAACAGCTAAAGTCAACATCACTGGAGACCATGAATGTTCTTCTAAGCCTACACGTGTGCTTGAGTCTTTTGGTGGCATGGATGGACTGCATTTGTATCTTAAGCTGGCTGATGTTTTTATGGTGTTTTTAACAAACACAGTACTATCTGCCTTCCAAGGTGTTCTGAAGTTCTGAATACTAATTAGGTGTTGTTTTTTTAAAGAAAGTATTTGTATCTATCAGAGTTAAAATGTACCAGGCAAGGTACTTAAACAGGAAAATATCCTTTCCGGGAATTCTCCTATAACTTTTGTTCCTGAAAATGAGAACAAAACAATTGTTCCCATAATAAACAATTATGTTTATACATAATTGGTGTGCCTATCTGTGTCTATATGTGCGTGCTTTCACGTCAGTCTTGACTCCTGGCTAAGGCTTGGATTAGTCCCTACAGTTTTCTTGGCAAGATTTTCAGAAGTGGTTTGCCCTTGTCTTCTTCTTCCTGGGGCTGAGAGAGAGGGACTGGCCCAAGGTCACCCACCTGGCTTCCATTCCTAAGGCAGAACTAAAACTCATGGTTTCTAGCCTGATGCCTTTAACCCCTACCCAAATTGGTTTTATTCATACATACTAGTCATTAATAAAACTCAGCTTTCTAAGAAAACTTAATGAATCAGTCCAAAATTGCATCTAGTTGAGCTTACTCTAGAATGCCACCCTCCAATGGACAATATGTCTCATCGTTACCAGCCAGCCTCATTCCATGGGAGCGGGAAAGTGCATTTATTTAGCATTAACTAAAAGCTTATAGGCTTCTCGTTCACGGCTTTGTCATTAAAGAAAATTCATGATTATCTCTCGGGGAAGTGGGCTCCCTTTTTCTTTTTCCTAAGCTGCAGATTATGATCACTAAGAAGGATAAAAAAATGTATGTGTTGCCTAAGAAAATGCCTGTCTAATCATAAAGAGAGTCATTTTAATAATATAAATATGCATCAGAATATAAATACAAAGTATTTACATTATAAATAAATACTATACTATATTATATATATAGTATAAATATGCATCAGAATGGAAGATAACAGGTCCTATTTTAAAAGCAATACCCTCTTTTTCCCAAACAAGGATAGGAGTATTTCTAAGATGGATACCTCCTATGAGACAAGCACTAGTGCACAACATGAATAATTGATAAAACAGAATTCTGGTTTCTCCAAAACTATAATTTAGCTATGTGTAAATGTAGGTAGATTTAAAACAAATCCAATTTGTTGAACTGCCCAGAGTCATTGGGAGTTGGGCAGTATACAAATGTTACTACTACTACTACTACTACTACTACTACTAATAATAATAATAATTCAAACTCTTTCATTAAGTGACATTGTCATGTTTTGTTTTAGTTTTAGTTTTTTTGTTTTTGTGGGGTTGGGAGTTTTTGTGTGGCTGTTTTGCAGGATAGTTTACTCCTCTCTGAATAACTGTAGTGCTTATTCTACAGCTTGCATTAAGTTATCGGATCTCTTAGTCGCTTACTCTAACACAAACTCGCTCGTCAGAAAGCTTCCACATTTTGCTGCTGCTAGAATTTTATGTCTTAAATTTCTAAAGGAGTTGCTGTTAAAGCGCCTTTGCTTACCATTTTAAGCCACAGTTTTCCAGTTCCAACTCTTTCAAAGTCCCTGATTTTCTGAGGGCCAGAAGGATCTCCTCCAAAATATCCTGGTTCTGTTGTAATTAAAAAGGAAAGAGCCACATGCCATCAAAGCTAAGAAATGAAGGCTTCCAGCTTAGGAAAAAGAGCGAAAGTTGTGATCCAAGAATGGCCAAACGTCTCTTGACTTCTTACCGGCATAGTGCATGTTAATAATCAATGCTGAAGGCCCCTATTACAATTTCTACCTGTCGTCATCTTTTCTCTCTCATTGTCCATTCTGAACATTATCTCATCCTGGGCTGACTATGGGAACATTAAAAACTATTTTATTCCAGGTCACACCGCAGCCCTGTTGACACAATACACTTAGCACATCAAGATGCATTTGTACAACATGCTAAACTTGATTAGTGTTAAACCTGCTTAGATTTTTTGAGGTTTAGTGCGTTATGTGAATTCAATCCCAATGAACTAGTTATAGTCACTTCATTTATTATGCACTTATAACCCAATGCAATACAGACATAGGATGTGATATATTATATATCCTATTATATATTAAAATTGTATTATAAGAGGAGGAGCTTCTATATTAAAAGACTGATGGCATGTACAGTAATGATAATAGCAGCTATACATTTAAAGTAACTCATAAAGATTATACAACAACTGCGTGTCATAGTTGTAAAATGGAATTCTAAATTGATATAGTGTGCTTACAATAAAAAAGAACTATAATTTTACTTTATCTAGGGCAAGACCTAATGGTACAACTTGAGTGAATCTAGATAAAGGGTTAATTCAGCAAGCAGGTTAGGTGCACTGTGCGGTCAACTGCAATGTTCCTCAACCTGGTGACCTCCAGAGGTGTTGCTAACTCCCACCACTTCAGCCAACATGGTTCTTTGGCATGCCGGCTGAAAGCGATGGAAATTCCACTTCAACACTCAGGAGGATGAAATGGGCCAGGAATTTTGGTTATAATATCCAAATGGATCAATGGGAGAGAATGTGATTAAAAGATCTGAAATCCACACAATTTAAAAGAAAACTTTTTAAAAAGGATGTACCGTTGGAATATGACACCAGAGAAATTGTCTAAGATGTAGGTGTAGAGGTACTTCTAATCACTGCTGGAAATGTGAAAAACATGAAGAGACATTTTATCATGCTTGGTGGACTTGTGAAAAAGTGAAGAGACACTGGATACAAATACATATGGTGATGCAGAATATTTTAAACATTAACATTCAGATGAAACTGGAACCTTTCTTATTAGGACTTATGGACAGTCAACTAGAAAAGGTTCATGGATGATTGGTTTTATATATAGTAACTGCAGCGAGGTTATTATATGTTCAAAGATGGAAGATTACAGAAATACCCATAATGGAGGAACAGATTATGGAGATGTCTGAGTTTGCAGAAATGGCTAAATTGACTTGTTTGATTAAGGAAGGAACTACAACTAGTTTTTATAAAAGACTGGGAACCCTTTATAGACTTTTTGCTGAAAATGGATAAAAATGAATTGGTGATTTCAGGATGTATTGATTAAAAAGCTTTCTTTATGGGAAGAAGGGAATGATGATATGCAATATGAGAGGGTGGAAATGGTAATTGCTATGTTTGCAACTGCTGCAAAGAAGATTGGAAGTCACGTTAGATATCTTTTTCTTGCAATTTTGTTATTCTTCCCTTACCCTTTTATAATCTTTTTCTATGTCTTCTATGTTTCTGTAGTTTTTTTAATCTTTGTAAAATCTTCTTTTAATAAAAATTATTTTAAAAAAAAACACTCAGGAGGACACTGAGTGAGAGGTAAACTTCTCTGTTGTGAATGGCAGAAGGATCTGAGATTTCAGGAGGCATATTCTGTGTTGCTTGCTCCATGATCCTTTCAACACGGGGGAAGGGAAAGCTTGAACAAATTGAGCGGTCTACCACTAAACCATGGGCCTTCTCCAAAGTTGCTAAACATCCTATGAAGTTCCTCCCTCATCTTTCAACAGGCCTTGGAGAATGGAGGACCTCTGAGGTCTCTTTGCTGGCTGCTGCACTCACCAGTTTGAAGTCTTTGCAACTTAGCTTTGTAAACCACTGATTGAATGACAAACCAGCCACACAAAGAGCTATATCTCTGCAGAAAAACAAAAACAATATACATAGTTAATTTCAAGGTCAGTTGGGAGGATTCGTAAATAAGTCAGCACAGAGTTCAGAAAGAACCTCATCTAACTACATGACTTTAGGGCTACCCTGCAGATACAAAGCACAACTCCTACTTGGTCAAGTGGGGATGGGATGGGGTTTTTTTACTTCTATGTGTGGCATATTCAGCCCAGATCTACACACCCACCAAGCCAAACAGATTGTTTGCGAGGTTTCCTCCTTAGCTTTGCTAAGGGGTTGAGAATTAAAACACGATAGCATTATCTTATATCAAAGGTTTCTCCTCAGATATAAGGCTAGAATTCTGCTTCTTCTTTTTTAAGCAACAAATGAAATTCTGAGAGTTGCAGGTGTTCCATCTTATTTTAACACTCTTTCATGATTGCTCTCCCACAAATCCCTACCTACATTTTGCACATCCATGCCTATCTGCTAGACCATGATTCTTTTATAGAGAGAGACTCACTGGCTGGGCAGGTGGTTGAAATCCAGCAGGTTGAACTCTCTGCATCCCTGGACGTGATAAACATTATCCACATCCTGGGGGGAAAAAAGTCTTATCTTACTCTCAATAAGAATTTGTCATCATTGAATGGGCATTATCTTTGCTGGGTACACAAGTGATTTTAAACAACCTCAAGCCATCTTTTTAGTGCCTCTTTTGAAACAGGTCAGATTGAACCCCACAGTTTTTTCATCACTTTCTCTCTGTTGCCCTCTGACTCATCTCTGTACCACATACTACAAGTCAGCTCTGTACCACTAAAATTCCCCGCTTTCTTGAGCTACAAGGGCAGAGTTTGTTTGCTTGTTTATGAGATAAAAAGGCTGCCCAGGGACTCCCCCCAGAATTGAAAATAATAAAAAGAAAAGCCTATAAATCTGGACAAACATACTCCCTATAACAAAAGCTGCCAGGATTTCCCTAAGCACCTACCCAAAGGCCTGGGTGTCAGCCTCACCAGGTAGACCAGACAGGAAATGCAACCAGATAAGCTAATTCTATTTTATTGTAAAGCTACATTAACAAAATCTTGCAAGTCTGAAAGTACAAATCCCCCGCCATCTCCTTTACAGCCTGAGAAACTATGGAGGGTCCCTTCTGAGCTTCGTGCTCTTCCCATTATCCAGCTGTGGGCTATGCCCTCTCTTATCTAATCGTTCCCTAGGCAGCATCTCTTCGCATTACACTCATTACACTGGGAGAACATCTAGTTTGTAGGCATACTGCTAAAATTTTGTAGGAAATTTTCTAAAAGCAGCACACCAAGCACCTTATATTTCTGTAAATAAGGAAGGTAAAATAAAAACACAGTGCTTATTTTTCTCCGTGCTTATTTTTTACCACCATTCTTGAGCTAATTTCTCACTGGGTCTAGCACAGCATGCAATTTGCTGCATGCGCGTCACCTGCACCTAGAAGAGCATTTGTGTGCAGTTGAGCTTGGCAGAGGTAGCAATTTCAGAGCGTCCACCCACAAACATCTTCTATAATATCTACGTTGCATTCAGTTGCATGACCTCCACGGTTTTAACTTTCTGGAAACATTTATAAAGCAAGTTATGTTGGAGGATTTAAGGTGAATGATAGGACACTCAGATTGCTTATTTTTTCCAGGTTGTTTTATGTTGTACCCTTTATTTTAGCCTTCTTATGGAAGTTTGAATTCAGAATGCTTGGTCTTGCTTAATTAATTTTTAAAAAGCAAGGGTCTGAAATGATTGCAGCAGTGTAAGTATGATGAAGAAATAAAGAAATGATGGCCTAGATTGTTTGGCATACTATGCTAAAGGTAGAAGATCTCTGATCCCAGGACCATGTAAGACATACATCTGAGCCCCTTTTCTGCAGTCCTTCATGCCACCAACTTTGGGGACACGGTTTCTCACTGTTCTGAAGTAAGAAAAACATGAATCACCTAAAGCAAGACTAGCATAGTTTAAAAACACAGTCATGCTTCCAAGCCCTTGGTGGGGAGGACAACAGATTTCTGGTCCTGCCCACATGCACAATGTTGCCATACCCACTTTGAAGGACTGCCCAACCATCTACAGCCCCCCCTCTACAATATTAAGTGCATCCCGGGGGAGATCCTGCTCCAAGATAAAGCATTAAAGTACTTTCCATGTCTCAGATTCCTCAAAACAGAGGGGTTAGATTTATTTCATTTTATTACATTTATAAGCTGCTGAATTCCATTACGACTCTGGGCTGCATACAGTATATGCCATTCAAAGTAAAATAATCCATACAATGCAAAATATGGGAAGAACATCTGGACAAAACCACCACCATTTCACAAATGAGACAACCCACAAGGGGCCCACCATCCACTCTAGTCCAGGGCCTGGGGAAAAAGCCAAGTCTTAAGAGCTCATTTCAATAAGGTCAGGCTGGGGGTTGTATGACTCTCTGGGGAAATGTCATTCCAGAGGGCAGAGAGGACTCATCCGGTGACACTTCAATCATGGGACCTGAGGCATGCTAATTCTTTGGGTGTATAGGATGGACAGCAACTATGGAAGACAGATGATCCTTTAGATATCCAGGCCCTCTCCCATGAAGGGTTTTATAGCTAATGACCAGCACCTTGTATTGCCCCTGGAAGCCCCATGGACCAGATACAGCTTCTGAGTGGTCTCCAAGGCATCCCATGTAGAGCACATTGCAAAAGGCCAACAATGAGGTGACCAAAACCTGGTAACTTTGTGACTTATATTAATGAGGACATCCAATCCATGTGGCTTAGTGTTAGGTGCATACTAAGCCACTGGGGTCATGAGATCATGACTTTAAAAAACGGTGGCTTTGCTTCTTATGTGAATCCCATCTCTCATAGTCTGAAACAGAAGGCAGAAGGAAGTTATAGCCAGCTGAAAGCCCTTTGGATGTTCAAGTCTTCTCTCTACAGTCCTGATGAGAGCAATCCTATTATTTGGTAGAAATACCTGCTGATGGCTGCCTGTTACACTCTATCCTTATTTTGTCAATAAAGCAAATATTATACAGATAGATAAAGAATTTCCTCTGTAAAGAAAAGCTGCAATGGTGGTGGGTGGTTCTGCTCCTGAAAGATTTCATCACGGGACAGCTGATGTTGGGACAGAAAGGTTTCCAGATTAGGATTTGGAACCTTTGTATATTGTCCTTGGGAGGGATGTCTATTTTCTGTTCATGCTCTATTCCTGAATCTTTCAAAGAACTCACTGGTTGAGAAATGAAACTGTTGTAAAACACAGGCACCCACATTCCCAAAGGCAACAGATTGAGTATCTCAGTCTTTTGAAAAATTCATAATAAGGGTTTCCTTGTAGGATTTCTTGTTTCACCAAAAGCAGTCCCTGTCCGAATTCTATGTTGACACACAAATCCAGAGAAAGGGAAGAAATGGATGGTTCCACCAAGCCAGAAGTTATTTTTATGCTTGTGGCTGAGCTAAGAATGACTCATCTCCTTCCTAGCCTTCCACCTTACCCACTGGATTTCCTCTTGGAAAGAAAGGCCACTGTAATCACAGAGGGCAGCATACGTCTCTGAGAACCCACCTGTAAGCGTGAGAGAATGCTCAGTGTTATAGAAGATGGGGGAAGAGTTTGTGTAACACTTACAGATAGCCATCACTTCATCTAAGAAACTCAAAGAAAGACATTAAATAAAAGTGCAACTTAGTTTTAGCTAATATAATCTCAAGAGCATCTGGGAGATGGATTCAAATCCCAGAGTCACCCCTGTCTAAAATACGTAGACTAGTGGAAGGACAGCAGTCCAATAGCTTAGCAGTGTTTCCAAACTGAAGGTCATGAACATTTTGCCCCACACAGAGCAGTTCTGCTTAAGAAAGTGTGCGGAAGTCAGAATTGACAGTAACGTTTTTTGGGAAAAAGATTTCGGGGAGGACATCAACAACACAGTTGTATATCAAGTCAGGGGAATAGGTATCTGATACCTTCAAGATCATTTGGATGCTGACTGTCATCAATTACAACCCTTGCAGTGGATATTAAGAAATTGTAGTCCCAACTATCTGGAGGCCCTCAGGTTATCTATTCCTGCAAAAGCTTAATCCCACTTTCAGGAAAAATGGATGTAGCTTTATCATGATGTTAACATGATAAATTTTGCTCCAACTGCCATTTGAATCAGCAATTACTTGCAACATTTTTCTCCATTAATTTTCATATAATTGAATTACCGCAAGGGCTTTCTTTCCATGCTTCTTCCAAGGAATCGATTATATCTTGAATTCTAGCAAGCAAGCTGGGAGAGGCATTCTGGAGTAGATCTCTTTAATATCAAGAAAATGATTAAATTATAGAAAAAATGCTGAATTCCATTTTACTTCAGGGCTTCCTGGTTTTGAGAGGTGAGCTGGCTGGATTAGAGAAGCTACTGCTTTTTAAAAACATGTTACTTTTCTATTTCTATTCGTTCACAATGGCTTTGATACCAGAATATACAAATACTGTATTGAATAGTTAAAAATCAAGCCCATTTCACCCTCAGCCTTAGTCACAACTTTTCAACTGTCTCTTCTAATTAGAATCTCTCTATAATAGAGAAGAGAAGGTGCGGTTGAACTCCAGCTATCATCAGCCCTGGTTAGCATGGCTAATGGAAAAGGATGCTGGGAGCTGTGGTTCAACAAGATCTGGAAGCCCATGGCTTCAGTGGCCATGCCTCTACGATGCCCAGACTCCATCTTTAGTGCTTTATAATCCATGTCAACGTCTTACCCAGGTGATGACCCTGGAAAAACCTTCTTGAGGGCCGTAATCATGTGACTGACTGCATGTTCCAGATCATCTAATGACAGGAAGTCAAATTCAAAGGAAGAGGTATCAGATTCTATGATAAGCTGGAGAGATGGAAGTGGAAGAAATATGAGAGCAGGTATTGCATGTGACTTCCCTTTGCTTATGAAACTAAATCAGAATAACCTAACTACGCCAACAGCCTTAAAGATGTTTATCAACACAATCAGTCCCTTTGAACTCAGTGGAAACCTTTAATCGCTATTCTCTCCGTCTCAATAGTAACAACTACACGGACAAGTTCATGAAGCTTTTTAGGCAACATTTTTGGAAGTGGATTGCACTTCCCTTCTTCCTAGGCTGAGAAATAGGGACTAGCCCAAGGTTACCCAGATCGTTTTCTTACCTAAGGCAGGACTAAGACCTCAGGTTTCTCTACTCCTACTGCAGCACCTTAACCACTAGATTAAACCCATTCTCATGTAATAACTAGGTCTCTTTAAAAGATCTATGTGCAAATTGATATCAACATTTATACTCATTCTTAAAGTATAAATGGATTGTACTGGTCATTCTTAAATACAGAATCCAGCCCAAGAGGTGGTGGTGTTTATCTGCTTTTAATTTAGGGCATTTCACAATTATAAGATATCTATTTGTTATAGATCAAGCCTCTAGAGGAGTGTTTCTCAACTTAGGAACTCTAAGACGTGTGGACTTCAACTCCCAGAAGTCCCATGGCTGGCTGGGGAATTCTGGGCGTTGAAGTCCACACATCTCAGAGTTGTCACGGTTGAGAAACACTGCCCTAGAGTTTCAAGGGAGGCTGGAAAGAGCCGTCCCCCAAACCCCAGGCAATTTTGGCCATCACTGCTGTATTTGACCGATACTTAGACTGATGGAAGGAAATGTTCTATGTTCCTATACTTGATTTCTTAATGAGGAGCAGGAATATAATTTTATTCCAAGAGGAACTGCTGCCCTTTTGCTAATGGACATAGGCAATTTCAGTGAGATTAGACTGACTGTTGAATGTCAGGACTCTTAAGAGCTCTGAGCGTCCTGTCTCCTGTGCCTTTTGCTGCAGCCTAACATGCATCAGTTCGACCAGTGCTTCCTTTTACTTCATTTCTAGTATCTGTTGTCATGAAAACTCCCCCACCCCTAAATGTCTGTGTGTCATTTGAGTTCAAAAAGAAACAGAAGAGGAGTTAATGACATTGAAGAGAACTGCCAAGGATAATGTGATTTTTAAAAGTCCTGTACTGTATAAGCAAAGATTTGAGACCTAATCATATGTAAATTCTTATGACAGCTTTGGAACATTTGCTTTGGGGGAAAAAAGGGTTCATCCAAGAAGATACCATCAACTCAACCTGCAGGGGTGGGAGAAAAGCGTATTTTATAGAGGAAGAAGCAAATCACACTATCTGTTCCCCATCTCGAACTCACCTTTTTAGCTTCTCGGATTTTGATAAACTGCATAGCTAGGAAGCTGAAGCTCACTTGGACCTGCAAAGAGAAATGGACAAGTGTTATTCCCGGCTTGCCTTTTGCATAACAAGCAGATATCTAAATACTTTAAAGAGAAAGCTGAACCTTATATGTGTGTCTTACCTTCATAACTGATATTGATCACCTGACTAATAATAGGGCGGGTACCAGCATTTCTGCAGGTGGCTGAGATATATGGGACTGTACTAGGAAAAGAGGTCTTGATTAGAAAGCCAGTAGGGCCAAGGACAGAATAGGGCTTATGGTACCTTGATCGGGAACTTTGCTATCACCACCAATGCTCGCCAAGGCATCAAAACCTACAGAGAGAGACACGTTGAAAAAGAAAACAGACCCAAGGAGACTGAGGCCAACCTGTGTCTCCATGCTTGGCATCAGCCAGGAGTTGATAGGGAAACCCCTGTGCAACACCCACAAAAGGTTTAAGACAGTGTTGTCCAAACTTGGCCACTTTAAGATGAGTGAACTTCAACTCCCAGAATTCCTCAGCCAGCATGGCTGGCTGGGGAATTCTGGGATTTGACGTCCACTCATCTTAAAGTGGCCAAGTTTGGACAACACTGGTTTAAGAGTTGCAATATATTTAATCCCATATATACACACTGGGAATAGAGTTGATTATCTACTTCATACCATCTAAGACAGGACATACCATTTGGCAGGACAATCATCGTGAAAAGACCCAATGTATGGCACTCTGCGGTCTTGGTCCACTTCTGAAGCAGGAAATGAGTGAGAAAGATTGCGATGTACCTGATTTATGTTAATTGACCAGCACTTAAAATCCAGAAAAGGAACAGGTTCAACTCTTTAGAGAGCTGATGTATGCACAGTGGCTTTATGTACCGAACATGCTTTGGTATAAAAGATCACACACACACCCCATTTTTTCTGAGTACTGAACTAATAACAGATATAGCACATAATATAGTATTCCTTGGTGCTTCTTAAAGTCTTAGTTGAGAGAGGTGTGGTATTTTCGAATAATGTATCTCCATAATATACGCAGCTCAATGACACATGAGCTATTGTGTTCATCTAATTGGCTCCCTGTGAGCAGATACAATCAGAGCACGGTATGAATCAGAACCTGGTATGTGCTAGGACCAGTGGAAGAAGATTAAAACGTCTCCATGCAAACGCTGTTCTCTAATTTACTACAGTAAACCTGGAAAGGCTGCAGCAAGATCTTCAGCCTTGTTTTCATTAGGCACGATACTCCCCTTAAGTTGGATGCCAGTATGTGCTGGTTAATCAGTTCTTGGTTTTCCATGTAGAACCTGTTAGGAGCCCCTGTAAATGCTTCAAATTCTTGGACATTTAAACTTTACAGATATTGGTCTGACTTCCTCAAACCTGGGGACGTACAGGGCAGTATTTTCAGGGTCACTTTCCTTCTGAAGAAGAGAGTTAACTTTGAAATAATCTATTTATTTACACACATTCATACTGAGCAGGTATTACAGGAGTGGAGAAACGAACACACCAAAGTGCCAGATTGCAATGAGAATCACAGTGGAATGCAAATGTACCCTTTCGGTTCATTGTTTCTGCTAAAATGGTTATACATCCCAATTGTCTATCAAGAACATTTTTTTTCAAGGACTTCAATGTCCATTGTGTTGTCTGTTTCTGCACAGGAATTATGTCCACACATGCCTCAAAAACTGCCCGATAGTAAAAATAAGCCACACAAACATACCAGAACAATTTCCTCCACTTTGGATTTGACGTGGAGCTGAGCATCCAGCAAGACAAACTCCTGGGTCCCTAGGAAATTAGAGATGCTTTCTGAAAAAAACATAAATGGATAAATGGAACTGGAAGAACATTTGTAAACAAGCAATAGCTTTAACTTCCAAAGGCTTCTCAGAGAAGGATACAGTGGTACCTCTACTTACGAACGCCCCTACTTACAAATTTTTCGAGATACAATCAGCTCCAGCCCCAAAAATTTACCTCTACTTACGAACTCGCATCGACTTACGAACCGGATCCGCGGCCATTTTCCGCCCGTTCCACGTGGTCTGTGGCCATTTCCCACCTGTTCCACGTGGTCCGTGGCCATTTTTCCGCCCGTGCCATGTGGTCCGCGGCCATTTTTCCGCCCGTGCCATGTGGTCCACAGCCATTTCCCGCCCATTCCACGTGGTCCGCGGCCATTTTTCTGCCCATTCCACATGGCCCGTGGCCGTTTTTCCACCCTGCTGCGTGGTCTGCGGCCATTTTCCGCCCATTCCATGTGGTCCACGGCCATTTTTCCACCTGTTCCACGTGGTCCGCAGCCATTTTTCCGCCCCTGCCGCGTGGTCCACAGACGCCGGAACGGATTAACGGTAATTACATTGAACCTTATGGGAAAATTTACTTCAACTTGCGACCAACTTGACTTGCGATCAGAGTCACAGAACGGATTAAGTTCGTAAGTAGAGGTACCACTGTACTTTGCTGCCATAGGGAGGATCCTGCATTGACTTTTACTAAAACTTGGCTAGTTTATGGGTAGGGCAGGTAATACGAAGGTTTCTACATATTTTGGACTACAACTCCATTACCCCTTGTTCAAACTAACTGCAGCTGGTAGGACTTGAAATCAAACATATATGGAGGAGTTAATGCTAAAGAAATCTGGTCTAGAAGAATGAGCTAAACCCAACATAAAATGCAGGAATAAACTATTGTAAACCAAAATCCTCAGATTTGCTGAAATCAGTATGGATTACAAAAGATTACAGAGTTCATCCTCTTAATTTTCATATCATGGTAAGCCATTACATGTTTTAACCGTGGCTGATTAATCCACAGTGGCCAGGTTTACACATAATCTTAGAACGTGAGACACTGTATATAGACAAAACTAAACATGGCACATTGGGCTGGACAACCCTCTTCTTGTGTAGAAGATGTTTTATTTATTTATTATAATTATTTGTATACTGCCCAAGCCCCAAGGCTTAATATATAATAAAGACATGCCATAGAACAGCAATGTAAAGAAAGAAAATAAACCAAATGCCCAAAACACCACCCTTCAGAAGCATTTCAAATTAAAATGCTTTGATAACCTTGTGTAAGGTCAACAGTGAAGGGGTCAGGTATATCTCCAGGACAAGGTGTTGAACAGCATTAGGGCTTCCATGAAGAAAGCTTACCTCTAGGCCTAAGCCCTCAATTTATTTGGGGGGGGGGGTTGAAACTCTAAGCAGCACCCGTCTCAGTGATCTCAGAGAAGTGGAAGAATCATTCCGAAGGAGACAGTCCCTCCAGCAGTCATTGAAAACTGGCCAACTGAAATGGGTATTTTAAAGATAAACTCACATGGAACTATGAGTTTATTTTTAAATATGTAAATGTGTATATTTCAAAGACAAAGCACACTACAGGGTTAAGAAAGATGTGCACTTTGCATTGAGTTCAGAAGCCTACAGGGAACCAGTGCAATGACCCAAAAATGGACCTTCTGCTGCAGAAGTGGGACTTGCTCTCCAGCTGCTGCTACATCTTGTCCGCCTGGAGCTCTCAAGTTGTCTTCAAAGGCAGACCAGGTAGATCATGTGGCAATAGTCCAGCTATGCAGTGATGATGGTACAAGTCACCATTCCCAGGACTTTTATAGGGTGAATAAATCTGTGGCTTAACTGTGCTCATCCTAGTCAATTCAAGATCCAAAAGCTGCCTTTGCACAACTGCTCTTCTTTTATGTATGGCTTAGCAGGTTGTACAACTTAGTTCATTTATGATGATGATGATAAAGTTCGTAAGTTCATTTATGATACAGTGTGTGATGCAAATTCAGGAACCAAGTTAAATGCATTTTGCAAGCCCAGCCAAAATGCTGTTTATCTGCTGCATTTATCTTGTAAAACCCACCCCAGGATAACAGCAGTGGTGGGAAGAGGTAAATTCATTCCTGCAAATCATCAGGCTGATGTGATTTGCATTAAAAAATAAATAAATGTGCAAATTTTTTTTAAAAAAATAGCAACATGTTTAATGTCGGTCCACAAATCTTGGGCTCTCTTCTTTCCCTTCTGCTAGCACAAGACGTCAGAAAATGAAAAAAAGAAGCCGCCACTTATGCCCTGATCCGGTGAATCTTTTTTATTTTTTAAAACATATTGATTTATTCAATTAGTACACTGCCTGACTCTGGATGGTTCACAAGAAAATATAAAACAATACAACAATAAAAGAAGATGCAAGGATGGCACAATCAGCAGCAACAGAAACACACTCAGTCCTTGAAAGGGGCTATACCCATCCTAGCCAAAGACCCTCTGAAACACCCGTAGGGTGGGAGCCACCTGAATCATGAGTTTTAGACTTTCCAGAGCACCAGCATAGAGTATCTCCATTTAACCGTAAGATATAAAAGCTGCTGCAAACCAACAGTGTAATTGGCCATATCCTGTTTTGCTTTGTTTTTTCGCGAGCAAATGCTAACCATTGTCAATCAAAGGAAATTGGCACACTGGCTCATCATTTCTTTTTAAGCTCCCCACATTTTGTGTGGTTTGACAGTGATTGGATATTACACTACAGCACAAGATTTTCTATGGAAGAGAGATTGCACTGGGATCTCAAAATATCTTTTGTGACGATGTAATTGGTCTTAAGTGTTTTGGAGTCCATCTGTTGTGAGTTTCTCTACCTAGGAGCTGTTGAATGTTGAGGGCCAAGTGCCTAGCACAAGAGACAGAGCTAGAGAATTTGTATTGCCTGGGGCTACTGGATCCAGGTTACAAAAATCCAGATGACCCCTAGACAGCATCAAAGAGCTGGAATTACCTTGTTGGTGTCATCTAGTGGTCATCTGAATTTTGGCAGCCCAGAACTGATGGCCTTTGTATTATCCAATTCGTTTAAATTCTATGGAGGGTGCTTGGCCTGCTAGATCTACAGAATTAGTTACCAGCTAAATAATGCAAGAAAGACCAACATCAACCAACATTTCTGAACATTAGAAACTATTTCACTATTGCAATAAACTTGAAACAGATTGGTTACCCTCCTTCCCTTCTCTTACATAAACACACTTCTTAATCAATCAGCCCATCCGGCTTCACAGCCAAGGCCAGATTCTCCATTTCTGAGAATTTGATCAAACGGGGACACCAAAGAGGTAGAGGCAAGGTTTTCTAAGCCCTCCTCTAGCATCCTGAACCGGGGTGATCCTAGCAGCCTCCTGGCCTTCTCTGCTCATGCTGAACAGCACAAAACATAGGTCTTTGCTTACCATGCAGTTCTGCCGGTCTCTCTTTGAAGAAAGCAGCCATCTTCTGGCCCTCTGCAAAGACCTGTTTGGAAGGAAGTGGCGTTTCCGTCAGGCACAGCAGGTTACCAAGGCACAAAATGAGTTTGCACTGCCTACCTCTTTTTTTTTCCCTCCCCCTTACCTTGAAGCGCCTCTTCCTGTCTTCCGGCCACCTCAAAATAAAGCAAGCCCTAAGTAGGGAAGGAGACATGAACAGAGGTGCGTCTTGCAGGAGCAAGAAACAAGAGCAGAGCACCACAGGTGGGAATCAACTTGTCCTCCTACACCATAGGCAAAGTCAAAGGCTCACTGCATTAAGATAAATGACTAATTAAACAGCCCGTTTGATGCATGAAAGCAGAGACTTCTGAAGCACTACATTTCTCCTGCACGAGAGCAAGCTGAACCTTGCCTTTTACTACTACCTCACCCAATTGTTGAAGGCTGCAAAGAGCAATTACTGTAGATCAGTGGTGGAAGAGCAATAGCCCTCCAGAGACTGTTGAACTACAACCCCCAGTATCCTTCATTATCACCTGGAGTGGCTGGAGGTAGGAATTCAACAGCCCTTGGAAGGCCAGAAGTTTGCCCTTCTAAGATTAGCCAAATTCATAGCAAGGACTACCAGTCATAGCAAAATACTGCATATGCTCACCTCTTGGAAAGGAATGCTCCCTTTTAGGGATTCAGGAGCTAATTACACTGTCCCCTGGGATATCAGCTAGGCTGAAGACAGACTTGAATCCACCAATCATTCAGGTGCACCAGTAAACCACCAAGGATTTTACTTTGATTCAGCTAACAACTGAAGCAAGCTCCATGTGCCTTCCTTCCTCCATGTGGTTGTATCACTAAAATTATAAAAACTGGAGTTCACCAGGAATAGACCTTTCTATTGAAGTAGTGCGAGTTCCATTTAATTCTCAAAACTAGTATCTGGATTCAGAAATCTTTAATGCTCAATATATTTTTGACAGGTTCTAGTTGGTAGGCCCCTAGATTACTGACAAAGCAACATCAATCCTTAAGTTTGAGGCTTTCTAGTCCTCCTTAGGGGTGTAACAAATAAGACACAACTTCCATCCACCCCCCACTCAAATATTACTTGTTTCTGACCCACTTTGGCCGTTAGCACTTGCTACCTGCTTCTACAATTAGGGAGTGATGACTCTAGAAAAGCTTCAGGTGCAGAGCATACTTCTGGGAACAACACAGGAAGGCAATTAATTCCTGGCTGTTTTATGGGCTTCCCACAAGCACGTGGTCAATTTATTTTAATTTCATTCAACTCTGCAGGGGCAGAGTTCATGGCACCACCTTTTAAAGGATAGAGAAATCAGAATAGGTTGAGGAAATTTACTAGGATGGAGGGGGTTCTGGAAATCAAGCCTTATGAGGAATGGTTGAAGAAATGACACCTTTAACTTGGAAAAGAGGAGTAAGGGTATTGCAGCAGTCTAAAAGGTGGTTGCGTGCAAAAGTGGCCCAACCAGTCCTCTACTGAAACCAAAGGTAGGATAAAAAGTTGTGTAAATTTAAAAGAAACAGGATTCAGACTGAAAACTGAAGAATTTCCTGATGGTAAATGTTCTTAAGCAGTAGAACAGTCTGTTAAGACAGTGGTGGACTCCCCTTTGCTGGAGATTTTCAAGCAGGGGCCAAATGCTGTCACAGATGAATCCCTCTACTTAACCTTGTGTTGGACTCGATCAACCCAGGAGAGTCCTTTCAACTCACACATTCTATGAACCTAATTTAAATATTTATATCTTGCCTTTAGTTGTACAAGAATCACAAAATATGATAGGATGTAGAAAAGCAGGGCTTTTCGGTCTGACCTAGCGAGAGATTTTCATGATTATATGCCCAACCTAATAATATATGCTTAAAAACCAAAAACCCGTTTTTGAAGTTCAAAACAGGAAATCCTAACAGGTTTATTGAGTGCTTGCTGAGCCCCAATACGTGGGTGATCCATGGAGTATTCAATTTGCTAGGTTGCAAACAGCACAGAGTCAATGAATATGAGGATAGTGAATTTCAATACATCACTCAAGGCCGTTAACATTTAATATCTGACTACATGGAGTCACTGAGAAATCTCTAAAGAGCTTTCACATAAACTCAGAACAGATTGGGCTCAAAGATCACATTAAGCTCTGAAAAGTTTAACCACTCTTACTGAATTAACTATAATGGCTCCGGTTCACATGATAAACTAATGTGAAGCAGTGGATTAAGATTTTTATTGTCAAGCTGCATCTTCCCCGTTACTGAATTACTGGAACATTCTACAATATGACTCACATACAAACAAGTCTCAGGCTGTCCCGAGAGCATGTTTATTTTCCATGTTACTAGCAAATTAAGCAAACACTATCATAAATGTGTATCGCTTTGTTAAGCCTAGAGTTCTGCTTGTTGTTTTTAATACAGAAGCATAAAAATGCACTTTTTGAATTAGGAATGATACCAAAAAGCACACAGGGAATAAAATCAAATTGCTGTTGAATATACGTTCTTTATTCTACAGTTTAGCAAGCTTCACTTTATTAGTCCTCCTTAGAGAATGCTGTTAATTAACTGTCAATGAGCCAGTATCAATGTATCTCAGCTTTGAGCAATGTGCCCTGTATCACCAGATCCAGATTCTCCTAAATGATCAAAGCAAAACACTAGGGCGATTCAGAAAAGCCAAACATTGATGAGGCTTTCCCCGTTGCAAAGTTTTATCATTTCATGAAAGATCTTGTGTATTCCTTCTACCCCCCCCACCCCATTATAAGGAGACAGGACTTTGCGGCAGTGCTTTCAAAGAATGAAACTCAGATCTTCCAGACGGCAAAAGAGAAAGCTCCAGGACTCTTGGGAAATGAAGTCTTCTCACAATAGGCTGTCTAGGATTTCACATGACCAATGCAACTCTCCAAGCATGTACAGGAAAACCTGAAACCAGTTTTAAGTAAAGAAGCTGTATGGCAGACAAGTTCTAGTTACCCAGAAATCCCAACTGGATTTTGTTAAGGACGGCAGGGTTCTCAGGAAGTGAGATGACCCAAATCCAAGGTCTGCACGAGTGCAGATATACCAAAAAGTGCACACGAAGCCTTGTGAGATTACCAGAAACCTACAATATTTTATCATCTTGCAATGTTTTGGGATTCTCAAGCAAGTTTTATGTAGGAATGCAAAGGTCTTTTGTCAACTTCTAAACTTTTTTTTTTTAATGGGGATCCACATATATTATCCAAGAGTGCTGCAGGTACAATGGCACCCTCCAATTCTGTATTGCCAATCCCTACATACTAAGATATGTTTTCTTTTCTTATAAAAACCATAGGTTGAGTTGCATTTTGGTACGAATACCATGCAATCATAGAACGCTGCACATCTCTACAATTAAAAATGCATAGGACCTATTCATACTACTGCACAGACAAAGCTGCCCTAAAGGTACAAGTAACTGCCAACAAATTAAAATGTATAAAAAGTGTTTTTACAGGAAAAACCTTCTCCTTCCTACCCCAACCCCAAATAAAACAAGACAATATATTTGCTAAAAATGCCCCCCTGGGGGGGGTCCAAAGAAGTAGAAAGCACACACGCGCACACACACAGAGGATAATCATTATTATTTATTAGCTGTACAGCAGTATATTCTCCTTCCCAGAGTCCAAACCCCATTATGTATTTTATGATGTTTTATTTCATGTTGGTTTCCTAAAATAATGAAAAATATCACACAGTACAGCTAAGTACAAAAATGCATCAACCTAGAATTGGATAGCTAACCTGATAGCTCTCTTAAAAGCGATACATAGAACAAAAGTTCTTTTTGAAATCAGCAAGACTGAGGCTCTATAAAAAGCTTACGCATTTTAACATGTGATGGTTTGATATACAGGCATCCTTTTTAATTTCACATTATTTTTAATTTTAATTAAACCCCAAATTTTATGATCACTGACCTAGTAAAATTTCCTGCCCTAGGTTTCATGGGCTGGGAAGCCCTATTACAAATTAACACCTTGGCTTTTAACACAGAATTCATAAACACACACACACCAAAAAAAAGAGAGAGAGAGAGAGAGCGAGCAAAGAAAACAGTTATGACAACTTGAAACTCAAAAGGGTGTTTAAGTGACACGCTTTGAGACCAAGTTCATGTATTTAGAAACTGAGCTGGGGGATGGGTTTCTACCATCTTTATTTCAGGTAGGACTCTCCCACTCACTTGATAGGTTCCCGTATTTAATTCTGTACCAATTCCTGCATAATTTCTAGTTGCAATAGTTAAAAATGATAGGGTTTTCCTTTTAAACTATAATCCCCATCCCACCCCAAAAACTCTTAAACGGAAAAAAGATTAAAATGTAAAAAAAAAAAAAAGTTATTTACAAGCTTGATCATTACAGAGACGCCCTGCAGATAGCAAAGCATCTGGGAGAGACTGGGTGGAGCATGCTGAACCTACAGTGTTGACATGGAGCTGGGGTGGGGTGGGGTAAGAAAAAGCAAAACTAAAATGCGGTATAAGTTTTACAGCCCTCCTGAGTCTGAATTTACAATTAAAAATCTCTAGGCAGAGGAAATGAATGAGGCCAGGGGGCTTCAAGAAACACATGGACAGCTCCAGAGCAGTCTGGGCAGGGTCCAGACTGTGAAGGCCAACCATGGCCTGGCACTAACAGCTAACTGGATTGAGTGACTTGCAAGACACCCCTGGGGAACTAAAAAACCAACCAGAACAAAAAAATCACCCCATCTTCCATGATCCGGTTAGGCTAACATTAAACAGCGAGAGAGAGAGAGAGAGAGAAAGAGAGAGAGAGAGAGAGAGAGAAAGAGAGAGACAGAGACAGA